TTTTTTTTTTTTTTTTTTTTTTAAATAAAATTTCAAGGCAGAGCAAAGGCTGCTTCAGTTCTTTGAATAAAAGGCTGGGGGGGAAATGAGGCTGAAGAGAAGTGATTACAGTGTGATGAGGAAAGATAAAAGTCTGAGCAACTTTTTTCTTCTTTGGGTTTTTTTTTCAGCATGAGGGACAGAAGAATAATTCCCTAGAAGAAAAAAAAAATAAGTCTTTGTTGATTTATTGTTCAGAAAAACCTTTAAAATTTTTCGTCTCTGTTTATTTTAATTTGCCATGCTTAGAATAAGCTCATAAACCGTAATTCATTACATTTAAAAAGTGCTTTGAGATCCGTGAATGACAGGCACTTCATTACCATAACACACTGGTGGTGTTTCGAGGAGGCAGAGCTGGCTTCCAGGGCTCACCATGAGGATGTTTTACTCTACGAGTAGGCTGAAAAGCTCCATGAGACCAGCGCAGTGAGTAAGCGGATTAAGCTTTGCCTTCAAGGGTTTGCCTTAGTATTGCACTCTAAAATAAAGTGGGATACCCGTTGCTGGCGGCTGCATGCTCGTCTGACACATCAAGAAGGCAAAGCCACCTGCACCTGCAGCCTTTTAAAGTGCTCTTCTTTGCCTTTGCTGTGGGATGCTCATTACTTCTGGGCGCTGGCTGAAGCAGTAGGAAGGCATGGCAAAACCAGCTTGGGGGGCAGGGGGGAGCAGCAAGCCAGGCTTTCCTTAGCTCTCTCTGCAGCCTCAGCTCAAGAGGAGCCGTGCTGCTGCCGGAGCAGGGCTCAGGGCAGATTTTGGCAATGTGTGCAAACTTTTCTTTTTTTTCCCTCCCCCTCTCTTCACAATGTCAACCTCCCTAGGGATTTTAAGGCAATAGATTCACTGTAATCCTTGAGGCAAACCAGCACTTCTGTTTTACAAAATCTTTGCATCTTATAGAAGGTGGGGTTTTTTAGTTTGAGTTGTGGTTTTGTTTTGGGTTTGTTTTTTTTCCCTGGCTGGGATTCACCAACCAATACAAAGGCCACTGCAGTCCAACAAGCTCAACATACTGTTTTCCATGTTTTCCTGGCAGGTTTTAAGAGAGCTTCCCTGTCTGCTGCAATCAGCTAGCAAACCAAGCCCGTCCTGCAGCCCCCGTCACAGCCTGAATGCCCCTTTGGTGGGAATCTCTACTAAGGCTTGAAGGGTAATAACTAACATCTGTATCCTGAGCAAAAACTGGGAAGCACTGGGACTTTTGATTTTACCAGATCAAAGCAAAAGCAGAATTGTAGCAGCATCTTTGCTGGCAAGTATAGCGAAGGAGGGATTACTTTTTCTCTCCAAATACTTCATGTGCTGTGGGGTTCAGATCGGAGCCACAGATCCAAAAGGGAGGCTGCCAGGGGTTACCCTTCCTGCAGATCTTTGCTCTCCCAAGGGATGGAAATAGCCTTACGCTTGGTGACCAGCCATTAGAGGGCAACATGCCCATGTACAGTAGGCTTTGATCCTGCAAACCCTGTTGGGAGTTTCATTGAAGGACAACTCCGTGCACACAAGTAGTTCTCTTGTGTGATGATTCATGCTACGTTAATATTTTAATTATTTTTTTGTGTGATTGGAGCCTGTTTGCAAGCCCATTGTAATGATGTGGGGCTTCCCTTCATTTTTAGCATAAGGATCGATAGTTCCTGCATCCAGGCTCGGGCATCCAGCCGTGGACCAGGATCTGCTGGGATAGATACAGTGCAAATGCAAAAGGAAAAGCCTCCAAGAGCAGGGCTCCTGCAGGTCCCTCTGCACCTGCTGTAGGGAGCTGTGCAGGCTGACCCTGTGCTCCCTGCGTGGATCCTGGCCCTGCCGGTGCAGGATCTCATGGGATTTAATGGGAATATTGAAAAGAGTATAAAATAAGGCCCTGCAGCCCTTTCCTGGGTCTTGGCTAATTACTTGCTGATGGATTGCCATTAGGGAAACCATTCTGAGGGACATGCCCTAACTACCCTTAGGTGTGTGTGTGGCACTTAGAGCTGGGAGCTTTTGAAAACGAACTAAAGACAGGGCTGGGGATTTAGTTTTCTCCTCCTTCTAACTGTTGGTGTGGTAACAGGAGAATTAAAGCCCTAAATTGTAGCCCTGGTATCTTGGTTGTTCAGGCTGACCTTTTGCTACCTGGCTTATAAGAGCTCTTCTTGAGTGATCCCGGTGAAACGGAGGGTGACGTAAGGGAGAGCTGTGGCCGTGGGCTGAATTCAGCCCGAGAGGGGATCCGTGGCACCCCAGCCCCCCTCACACTGCACAATCCCTGGGGATTTGTAAATGAGAAGCATCAGAGATCAGGTGCAGGCAGGAGAGCTTCAACTGTGCCCGGGGTGGCAGGAAAAAAAGCAGGAAGTCTGATCCTGGGTACTGTCAGTTCACTTTGCTCATGGGGGGGATCCCCTCTTCTCA